GTACTAGTACTAGTAGTATTAGTAGTAGTCCTAGTAGTCGTAGTAGTAGTAGTAGTAGTAGTAGTAGTACTAGTAGTAGTAGTAGTAGTAGTAGTAGTCGCAGTAGTAGTAGCAGTAGTAGTACTAGTACTAGTATAAGTACTAGACTGTTACTAGACCCCCAAACCTCGAAACTCCTAAAGCCCGAAACCCCTAAGCCAAAAACCCCTAAGCCCTAAAGAACCTTAAGCCCCTGAAACCAAAGCCCCAACACCCTATATCCCCAAGCCCCGGAACCCCTAAACCCCTAAACCCTGAAACCCTAAACCCCTACACCCCTAAACCCCTAAACCCTGGAACCCCAAAACCCCTAAACCCTAGACCCCAAACCCGAAATCACCTAAACCCTAAAACCCCTTAACCCTAAAGAAACGCAAAACCCTAAATCCAAAGCCCCAAAACCCTGAATCCCCAAACCCCTGAACCTCTAAACCCCTAAACCCCTGAACCCTAAACCCCGAAAGCCCTAAACCCCTAAAACCCGAGACCCCTACACCCCTAACTTATACCCCTAAACCCCTAAACCCTGCCCTGTCTGTTGCCAGAACTCCAAGGCCCACGCGAAGGAACTCAGGGTCCATGGAAACAACCTGAGATCATTGGGGTTGTCAGAGGCAGCAGTATGACATATGGCATTGCAGGCACATGGAAAGGGCCGGTCCAGCAACTTTTTCTGCAATGGAACAACGGGGTGGCCGGCGAGATATGTGAAATTTAAACGACAACGATCGTCGGGGGACCGTCCTCAAAAATTCAGAACAACGGGGAGGGGCAACTGTACAACGACTACCCAGTGATGGGGTCCCAAACATAAGTCTCGTCCATCGGCTGGAGGAAGAGGCCGATACACTGAAAGTCCACCGTTTCACCTGGAGATGCTCGAGTCGATCTCATTTATTTGGTTGTTCGAAGTTTGTTGTCATTGTAATGTATACGAAATAGAAACTAACTGAACGGTTAACGGTTACTCTGGAGTATTAAGTTAGACAACAATTTCTAGACAGGTGAATACTGAAAATTTTAGCATGGCTCGGCCACCGGGTCGTGCGATGTCGAGGGCAAAGTACCTGTCCGTCGGGGTGTGAGACGCGGTGGCAACGAACATGTGGCCGCGATAAGCACACGGCACGGCCACGGGGTGGGCCTCCCAGTCATGATTAAGCATGTCCAGCAACCATGGAGTAATGGGCCGCTGGACCCTGCCCCAGCGATCGTCGAGTCCAGTCCGGCGAGCTGCTTGTATCCTGCGCTTGGCCGCGCCGAGGATCTGCTTGAAAGCAAGCCTAGGTAGGCACTCTAAGTGGCGAACATGACCACGGTGGCAATGATGGGACTTATGATGTAAGTATTGGGTTCGATTCTCCAAACTCAGAAAGTTTGCCAAGTCGAGGAGACACTCGAGCATCGGGTCGTTCATCACGTGCTCGACGAGTATCTGGATGCCGCCGTCCTTCCTCGTGCAAAGAACACACAAGGTAGCTTGAAACATGGAACCTGACGACGACTCTGTCCTGTTCTCGGTCACACGGGGACGATGAAACTGTCCTTCGGTTCTGGCCAGCCAAGCCCAGAGCCTAAGAGCAAACAACAACAAGAGCAACAACAGCAACTAGAACAACTGCAAAAACATCAACAAGATAACAAATACCAAGAACCACGGCAGTCCGGTCTATCTGAATGGCAAGGGGCCTTTCGGCCCAAGCGAGCGGTGTGGCCCACTGGTCCGGCGAGTCGATATCAAAAACGTCCCTCAACCAGTCCGTCCGACGGGTGTCGTCTACGGGTGCATCGCGTGGGAGCATACGAAAGTAATAGGCCTGCGTCAACGACAAGTCCGCCAGGTACATCTCCAATTGGATCTGCGAGTTAATGCCCGGCGGAAGAAGTGACATGGCGAACCTCGGGAGCTGCTCGACATAGTCGAGGTTGCGCTGCTGGACCGTCGAGGCGTCCTCGAAGCCCTGGCGCGAAGCCAGGTAGTAGTCCATCGCCCTGAAGTCGTACTGCGGGTGGAGGAGGGGGTCGTCCGTCGGGCGCCGCAGAAAACTTGGCACACGGCGAGGGACAGAGATGAAGCCATCAGGATCCGACGAGGCCATTTCAAAGAACAGCGAGGAAGGAAGACCGACGAGTGGAGTGACACGCAGGCAGGATTTGGCAATGTGGCAGGTGCAATTGGATCTATTATGGCAGCGGAATGATTTGAACACGTGCACAGCAAACGTCGAAGTGCTGATTTTCAGAAAGAGATCCTAGCCACTTTGCCATTTCTGAATCTTCAATCCACAGGCCAGGCACCAAAATGCTAGGCTCCCCACGGGTGAAGAGTTCTGTCCATCGGAAGTCCACCGGAAACACCTCGGCGAGGCAACAGCAGGTTCTAGTGACCAGTTCTTCTCAAAGTATTGCGGTCCTGCTCTCCTGTTGCTTGGCTTTTACTCNNTACTCAGTTGTGTGTGTAGAAAGGACAAGGACTGCTTCTTGAGACATAAGAATAGAAGTCTTCCTGGGCATTCTATATTATTAGATAAGGCTCTTCGCTATTATTCAGCGTGTCCAACGAAACTACGGAACGGCGAGTCATCAAAGCTGTTTGGAAAGAGGAGTCTACAATATGCGAAAGTACGTAGATTCAGTGGGTTTCCAGCGAAATCCTGTAGTAAATCCGAAAGCCTAGTTCCCTAGCCTGGGTAATAGTAAGCCTAGAACCCAACAGTGCCGGAAAAAGCCGAAGCCACTGTGCTTCCAATGTCTGAACTTAGAATGCAAAGGGTGAATCCTCAGAGAACAGACAACACTGCACGGGAAGTAACCCCAGCAAAAGGACAACCGGTAACACAATATGTACTGTCAGACTAGAAACAAATGCTGCATCCCCAGATGATACCAACAAGCACTGGTGAACATCTCCGCTTAGAAACCTTACCAAAACAGGGAACAAACTCAACATTAACTGAGCATGCAGCTTCCAACAAAGGCAAAGCTCGCAAGACCTGAGGCCAGGAGGCTTGCTATTCTGCCGTGACATGCAAGAACAAAGGCATCATTACACATCAAAACCGAAAGTTAGGAGGACTCTAGCGAGTTTTCTTTTGGTGTGGCCCTCGTTAGTTAGGTCGTGCGAACTGATGGAGCTGAGTGGATTAGAACGAACCAAAACCCTGTGTAAGCAGAGTACCTGGAGACTTGGAAGAAAGTTCTCTAAGTCTCCCGATATCATGCGCAAAAGAACAACACACACAGATTGCATCGTATGAGAAACACGAAGTCTCGAATGCCAAGTGCCGACGGTCATTGAATTGAACTAGGAGTAGTAGACAGCCTTGGAGCTACATTGCCTTGAAGACATAGTTCATTAATTTAATCAGCGAGCAAGATGAGTACTTCGAAGCTGACGGGCTAACTAGACTGGAGGACAACAATGTAGCACGATGGAAGTGACCTGAGCACCTGGCTGCGAGGGCGGAATCTTTCTGTACTGCAGCACCTGACGGGGGCAAGCACTGGCAAGCTGACAGGAAAAGCGGCAAAGAACTGCAACGTGTGCGGAACGCTGCTTCTTTTGTGGTCCGCCGGGCGAGGAGTCCAGAGAGTCAGATCGGCGGAACCCACGTTGCGACTTTGAGGAGGCATGCTGCAGCTTGGGATTCTAGAGGTTGCTCATACTGAATAATGATATGTCCTTGGAGGAACCGTCGAGTCCAGTCCTGCGAAATTGACCTACGAGGAAGAGGTGAAACCTTCACTGCTTGAACTGCGATGCACTGGTCACACCGCCAGGTCGGTAACCAGTGCCCATGGCCGTCCCCGGAGGTTTTTTAGCGGGGACGACCTTCGCAGGCTCAGCGGCTTTGGCTTTTGCCTCAGAGAATGCTTCTTTCAGAAGAGTCGAGGCCAGAACTCGTGAATGTCCCGAGGGCACAGGCTGCAGTCCAGACACGGGTGTGGCCCACGAGGATGAAGCTGCATCACTGGGTGGTCCGACGGGTTGTACTCCTGCGACGAGAAGAGGGAACTACCTGTTCGGGTTAGAGAAGAA